TAGTCCACTTTTCTCTTCAAGGAGATTTACAATATTTTAAAAAAATCTGTTAGGCTTTAAAGTGCTGCAACATTTTACTCTTCTTTCTCCCTCCCCCCTTTTCACTTTAATTTTGTCAACTTTATTAATGTAATTAATCTACCGAGGTGACCAAAGCACCATCCATTTCCATGACCAACTTAAAGGTAAATTGGAATAAGGATACAATTATTTCATCTCATGAATTCCTAAAGTTGAGATGACCAGGCATCCTTAATCCCTTGTATTTGGTATGTATAGTGAATCTTAAAGTACTGTTCTAAGTGGAGAACTGTAAATCTAGAGAGGCAGAATCAGAAGGGGGGGCATGATTGTGCTAAGAGGAGGACAAGGACAATGAAGAAAACTGCAACAGAAAGAAAAGTGTCACAGATTCATAGGTTTTGTCAAATCTGCTGTCTTTCTTCCCAACTTTCTTTTTCTGGGAAGGTTTGCTTTATGCTTATATAACTATGTACACTTTGTAAGGAATTAAATAATTTAATCTTTTTGCAAAAAAATGAAACTAGGAGCATACATTTGTTAGTCTTTAAAACGGCTCTACAAAACCTTCTGTTGTTTAATCTGATTGGAGTGCCCGATTGCCAACATTGCCTGTAAGAGAGTCAATAATAGTTTTGATTGTATTCTGAATGCCTTGTTAATACTAGTTGTACATTTTTGTCGATGATGCTGGTCTTTTGGAGACTAAACTTCATGACGTGTCTTGCCTCTCCTTCATTTTTTCCATTCTTGTTAGCAAACCTGTGGGCCCAAGTCAATCACATTGTATTTCTCCTACTCCCGTTCTGGTGGGCTATCCTTTCCACAGTCAGTTCATTGCAATTTTGTCTTTTTTCCCCCCTCATATATTCATGTCTGAGCAACTTCATGTAAAAACAAGGGAACTCTGCTGCTTCTCTGTGCTTGGTTCTTTTAAAATCCATCAAGTCACAGGCTGGTTGGGACTCTTCAAAATGTACAAGAGACTTGCATTTTCTCTTTTTATGCTTTAGTGGCAATATGTAAAGTATTGTCGGGCCATGTTATCCATAGAAGATAGATTCCAAGCTCCCCCCCCAACAAGACAGAAATAGCAGATAAGTGAAGCACTTATTTACAGGGTTTTTTTTGGGGGGGGGCATAGCAGATAAGTGAAGCACTTATTTCCAGGGGGTTTTTTTGGGGGGGGGGGAAACTGTGAATGGTTGAGAGGAAACCCTGGTCCAGGTTTTCCGGGTTCCCTGCCTTCCTGTTCACAAGGAAACCAGCAACTGCCTCCTCTGCCCTCTCCCAGCAAATATGGCTTCTCAGTTTCACCAGAAGCTGCTTCCGTCAGAGATAATTAAGTACATTTCCCCTAAATTGCTTATATATAGCATAGTCTCTGATTCCATCTAGTGGTTTGTCCTGATAATATATTTGAAGAACGTGTATCTCTGAGGGGAGGGTGTTTTTCAGGCAGCAGATAAGTGAAACCGTGGGTACTGAGCCCACGGATATGGTGGTCCCACTGTGGTGACTTATATTTTTTCCCCCATACTATGGTAGATGAATTCCACCTGCGTTTGGAACAATGCAAGAGATGCCTTTTTTGCCACTTTTGAACATTATGGACCAGAGCACAAATCATACACAATGCATACCCCCTGTTAGTGTTTCTCTGAATATTTCAAACTATCCTCCAGATATTGTGACTGCATTGTACAGAACAACTGCTTACTATACATAGTTCCTGTTGTTGTTGTTGTTTTACAGTAACATAAATAATCTAGGGAAATAGCAAGGTTTGGGAAGAGTCCCTATTCTCTGTGTGGCTGTAGCAGTAAAGGCAATGGAGAATGTGGCTCTTTGGTTGAGTGATGTAAAGTTTCACATACATTAACTCAGTTTTCCCTACCCTGGCACCCTTCAGACTTGCTGCACAGTAAATCTCACTATTCCCAGCCTAGTGAACCAGCACTGGCTGAGTTCCTGGGGATTGTGGCCCAGATCTGGAGTGTTCTGGGTTCAAACAAACTGCATTGTCATGATCGTTGGTATTCATGTATTATGGTTGCAACAATGTGTACTGATATATATATATGAATGGAGGCAAATAACCAGTCACTTTTTCTAATTGCACTCGGATTTGCTTATTACAGTAGTAGAGGTCAACTGTAATAAGCAGTTGACCTCTACTACTGTAATAAGCACATCCGAGTGCAATTAGAAAAAGTGACTGGTAGAGGTCAATCGGGGACGTGGTGGCGCTGTGGGCTAAACCGCAGAAGCCTGTTCTGCAGGGTCAGAAGACCAAGCAGTCATAAGATCAAATCCACACGACGGAGTGAGCTCCCGTCGCTTGTCCCAGCTCCCGCCAACCTAGCGGTTCGAAAGCATGCAAATGCAAGTAGATAAATAGGGACCACCTCGGTGGGAAGGTAACAGCGTTCCGTGTCTAAGTCACACTGGCCATGTGACCACGGAAAATTGTCTTCGGACAAACGCTGGCTCTATGGCTTGGAAACGGGGATGAGCACCGCCCCCTAGAGTCAAACATGACTGGACAAAAATTGTCTAGGGGAACCTTTACCTTTACCTTTACCTTAGAGGTCAAACTTTAATGCAGCTTTCTTTCTCAAGGGAAGCAACTGGTCTAAAATCTTAGGAGGGAAGGGGCCAAATGGTTCCAACAGTTGTTAATATAGTACATATTGGAGGAGCAGGATATGGGCTTTCTAAACCAAATAATGCCAAAATAAGTGAGGACGATCATGAGGAAAGCACAGATTGTGCGCAGGAATAAATTTCTTATAAAGTTTTTTATTGATTCACCACTAGGCTTCCTTGTGAAATGTGTGAACAGGCTGTCAATTTTATTTATTATTCAGAATATATTTGTGCTAGCATGTACTGGATTTTTTTAAAAAAACAAAAAGGTCCGTGCTTTAATATCTAATAATCCATACTACTCTTCCTAGTTATTTAAGGCACTTTACTGTCTGAGCTCAGAACATGAGGCATTTTGCCAAAGCATGGCTCCTGAATAAGAATTTAAAAATCCATTGGGTCTGATGCCTTCTGAGAGGATTTCCTATATAGGGCTCAGGTTTGTTAAACAAAATAATCAGTGCAAAATGGTTTAAGGAGTCTCTATGTCCTAAGAGGGGAGCAGTTAACCCATGCAGGCAGTCAGCAAGCAATCACAAAGTGTGAAGTTAGCAAAAGATAGCAAATTTAAATTATGCTTTTGTCTGATGGAATTGGTTTCCTTGGGGGCAGAGAGACCAACTCCCACAAAACATTTGATACAAGATGGGCTATAATATCTAAGCAACAACGAGTACAGTAAATGCCCATCTTCCCAAAAGACCTTCTGCATCACTCTTTGAAAGAGGCAAGTCTTTGTGGTTGTTTAGAATAATTTTAATTCTCTGAACTAAGTCTGGAAGGAGTTTTTGATGTAATACTAGTGTAAGCCCACAAGAAAATAAAGAGAATACTAGTGTAAGCCCACATTAAGAAAATAAAGAGAATACCACATTGGGGACCTATTGACTGTTACCAGCGATTCCCTTCCTCCAAACAGCAATGATTGTAATAACTTTTGCTCTGTAAATATTTACATATGCTAATGGGTAAGCTAACATGACCATTATTTTTCCACAGCTTTTTGCAATCTTTGCATTTGCAACATGTGGTGGCTATTCTGGAGGACTGCGTCTCAGCGTGGACTGTGCAAACAAGACACAGAGTGACCTCAGCATTGACATAGCCTTTGCATATCCATTCAGGTAATACACTGTCATTCTTTTCCATTTGCAGACAAACTTAGTATAACTTATCATGCACGTCACATAGCAGTGGAAAGGGTATCATTCTCTACTGTAGTTTAGCCCCAATGGCTGTTCACTCTAGACACCTCCAGATGTTAAAGTCATACAAACAGGTGCAAAGATATTTGTAGAAATGCTTTGGGGATCCTTTCCAGGATGAAGAAGCACACGGAGGCAGGAATCAGGGAGAAATGAATCTCCCTCACACTTCTGTGTGAGGTTTATTTATAGTACAGAGTGAGACAGTCATTATTAGTTTCAGGTGTGGCTGTTTACATTTTGTACTGTAATCTGGACATGATTTCACCTGTGCTAAGTGATAAGAAGTGATGTGCTCAGAGAAACGATTACTCCAATATAGATATCTGAAGTGACAACACCTGTGTTTAAATGACCTCATGCATCAGCTCCGGATAAAGGCAGGTATAATGTTATTATATTTGGCTGTAGAATCAGGGTCAACGTAACCTTTGCCTTCACATGGTTTTCCAATGTTTCAGCAAGGTTACCACAGATATTAGGTAATTCTGGTTGCCTCCTCACTTCAGACCTGCTGAGGCATTTCTTTTCCTTAATAAGCAGGATTGCATTAGAGGAGCATGAGAGCGCAGCACTGTTGTTGTGCAGCGGAGCATATCAACATTCTACAAGGCAATTCTAAAAATGGGTGCAGCCCAACACAGAGTTATAACTTTGAAACTAGACTTCAGATTAGCACCAAATAAGGACATAATAATATACAACACTATCCTTCCCCACGGCCAATTTCGTCCTATAATAATTCTTCACAAATTAGTCCAATTCAACCATTGTAATGGAAAGTGTTGTCTATGTGAATTCAATTACATCAGTTCCAAAACTGATAATGATAATTTTCTGGTTCACAAATACCAGGAAAATATAGTTAATTGAACAAACTCATTTATTTAAATTCCTAATGAGCAGAGGTAGAACATTTGTGATAAAGAGCTCCCTGATTACCCCATTTTAATTATAATAGTACCTGTAGGCCATCAGGTCAATTTTGACTTATAGTGATCAGGGTTTCCAAGATACAGAGTACTCAATAGGCATGAGACTTTTGCTTCTTTTGGATTGCACATCCCATAGTTCACCTGGAAATTTCTCCAGACAAAATTCTGGAAGATACAGCCCAAGCCAGAAGTTTACAGAGGAGGTCTAATTACTTACACATGGGCGTTCTGTCCCTTGTTCAGCTTACCCTGGTGGAGGCTGAGATGACAAAGCTGCAGGTCTCACAATGAATAGTGAGACTTGTAGTTTTTTGAGAGGCACCCTGTCTATACAGAGGCTATTGGGCAAGCAAGATTATCCATCCCATGGACTGCAATGCACTCTTGCCTTTTATTAAAAAGTTGTGACACCTTCACACACAGGTGCTGTGCAAGAAGGAAGGGAAAAGAAAGTGATACAGATGGTTATTTGCCCACAGATGTCACATGATGCATCATAAAACTTGCAAACCTAAAAGTGAGATTCATCGATATCAATTCCTCTCTGTAGAATCCTATTCAAAGAAGTATTTTTAAAGAAAGCACCACCATCTGTATTGCAAGATGGCTGTTTCCCATCAAACATTGTTGCTGTTTTGCTTAAGAATTCCATTTATGCTTTTATTGATAGTAATGACATTCACTAAATGGATCTGAGCAGCTGGCAAACTTCTGAATTGTTAATTTATGTTATATTTGTGGCATATTTGTACTTCTAGACATGTATTGATCTTTATTACAAGTGTTGGATTATACTTGTAGCTAACTCCGCTTTTATGCATGGCCTTTCATTACTTGCCTTTTTTTCTCTTTAGTATTCATGGAAGAGGATCAGAAAATTGAGTTATGCAAATTCATAATTTGATTCCCTTTGAAATAGGACATTTTCATGAGCATTCTTTACAGAAGAGATCCTGTACAGGGAGGGGTGTTCTCTAACAAGTCCTGTTATTTAAAAGAGTTGTTCCTATGGCCAAAACCCTATTGCTTAGCATAGTAAATTGCACTAGAGGAGACCCATTGAGTCAATGAGGATTTGGTGAGTCTACTCTTCTGTATGTTCCTGTGATTCAAGCAGGCCTATGCCAATTGCAACTTACTTTATCACAGTAAGTCACAATTAAATTAGGCCACTTTAATCAATGGAAATTACAGAATAAGAGATTGGCTAAATCCCCATTGAGTTAATGGACCTGCTGTAGTACAGCTTACTAAGCTAAGCAACAGAATTTGGACCAGTAACATAACTTGTATATGAACCCATGATCATAATCGTGTGTGTGTGTGTGTGTGTGTGTGTGTGTGTGTGTGTGTGTGTGTGTGTGTGTGTCTCAAAGTCCGGGTGCAGTCCCACTAACAATTTGAATCAATTCCTGTTCCAAATTTTTTTTTCAGATGGTATAGAAATCAGTAGCCACATTCACTTTGACTGAAATTAAATTGATTTATTTCTAGTAACTAAAACCAGTTTTGGCACATACACTGGTGAAATTGACTCGTTTCTTTTCTGGTTTTGGACCATGCTTTTTGTAAACCCTGGGACTTTTTAAAAATATATTTTTTAAAAAGTGATGCAGTAATAAATCAACGACTGCATTCATCTGACCAAAAAAAAAAAAAAAATCCATTCCCAGGGACACTAAGCTAAGTGATGCATTGCTAAACATTTCTATAAGAATTTTTTTAAAGGAGAGGAAAAACCGTGGTGCCAATTCAACAGGGCCACAAAGTAAATCAAGAGCACTGTCCACGGCCACCAAACTGAACTGAATTAAATTTGCAAATATATAAGCAAGACAAATCAATGCCATTTTTAAAAATTACAGCAAAAACCACTGGTTTGTTAGGTTTTCTGAATATTATAGCATTTACGACAAAATGTTGCAATAAAATCAAAAGGCAATTCTTGTTAAGGCAAGGCCTATGACTGTGAATCAACCTTTTCTATTTGCTGCTGTCAGTTTCTTGCAATTAAATTATTAAGCTTCCTGTAATTGGTTACAAACTGCAGCTGTATAACTTTGACCTCTGTAAATGGGGATTGGTTCTCATGGCAGAAGCCAATGCATTCTCAAGAGGAATCAGTTTGCCAGGAAATGTGCAAGCATATTGACATTTCCACTCTTGCAACTTTAGGCACATTTTCTCTACACTGGTTTGATCTCTACAAGAAAGCAAGTAATGCAGTTCAACCACTGTGCCATGAGGCTCCTCCTTTATTGGTTCAGTACTGAAGTATTGGACCTTTAAAATATACTAATAATGTAATGACCGAAATATGATCAACATTAGATGTACAGTGGTGCCTCGCTTAACGATTGCCCTGCTCTATGACGAAATCACTTGACGATTAGGTTTTTGCGATTGCTTTTGCGATTGCAAAACAATGTTTTAAATGGGTTTTTTCATTTAATGATGATCAGTTCCCTGCTTCAGGAACTGATTTTTGCTTTACAACAATCAAAAACAGCTGATTGACGGATTACAAACTGGCCGCCGGCTGCTTAAAATGGCTCCCTGCTGTATTTTTGGATGGATTCCTCGCTTTACAGGCAGCGAAAATGGTCGCTATGGAGGATCTTCGCTGGACTGTGAGTCTTCAGCCCATTGGAACGCATTGAGGGGTTTTCAATGCGTTTCAATTGGCTTTTTTATTTCACTTTACGACGTTTTCGCTCTACAGCGATTTCGCTGGAATGAATTAACGTCATTAAGCGAGGCACCACTGTATGGCAGACCACAATAACCCACCTTCATATCTCTCCCTATAGGAACTTCAGCCATGTGGAACATTTGTTTAAGTAACAGGTGAGGCACATATTATCCTCTGACTGCATGTGGGAGTGAATGAATGTCTTTCTAAACAGCATTTTATCATGCGTTCACCTTGATTTATGATTACTGGTTGACAGTAGAAGAGGTGAGGAGATGAGCTTGAAACAAAAGATGCAGCACCAAGACTACTGTGCTTGTAGCTGTCATGGCTGTCAACGGCTGTGCTGAAAAGATGGAAATAAGGAGAAATAAATTTTTTTGAACCTATTTCTGCCAGTATGACATAGTTCTAGAAGAATATATGTGCTTGTCTTGGACATTTCTTTCACACTTATTAAAGAGACATCTCTGCTCTGAAAGATGTAGCTCAAAGAAGATAGATGGAGGAAATATTATAACTAAACAAATGTATGCTAAATTAAAGTATATTGCAAATCTAATGATAGCCCTGCCAGAGTAAAAACGCTAAGGAATTAATATAGAGAGGAACTATATAATATTATACTCAACTAAATTTTCTTTATCGGTGATCACACTGGAATTTGAAGTATTTTTTTCAGAGAGAATATTCGCTTTCAGCCCTAATTGGGAGCATGGGGAGCCACATGTATGAGAAGAGAAGCACACAGAGTGTAACTGTGTATAGTAAAGAATAAGCACAAGTAACTACCAGTGGTGCAACAAACAACAGTCTTGCTAACCAATGAATGACCTTCCCTAGCCAGTATGCTTGGAAAACCCTGGAATAGCAAGAAATAGGGACCCACATGGGTGTCAGCCACTGCCTTTTTCCTTTGACCCTCCTAGGAGTCAAGCTAGAACTGTTATCCACAAGCTGGGTCTGTCCATGAAATCTCTAACTTGGGATCCATTAAGGGGGTCCCCTAAAGAAGAGAGATGGGTACACAGGCTCCAATCCCAGTCCTTTCACAAATTGGTCCACCAGAATGCCACACTGCTACAAGGAGATCCATCTCCTACTGAAATTAATGCATGTGTAGCCAAGATAAGAGCCCCCTGACAAATCCAGTAAAGGAGAAGTCCTGTCCCCTGTTCAGTTATGGTACATCTGATGGGCAATCCTCCCAGAATCCAGACCCTGGTTTGTCCCACAGCCAGTCGTAATAAGTGTATATCACAGCCTTAATGAAGGAGATGCTATGTCTAGAG